TACCCTTTCTGCTCCTAGTGCCACTGATATTCTCATGATCCCAACCCCTTCCTGGGGCAGAGGCTGAGGGACTCCATTGTCACTTCCTCACTGAGTGCCCGGGCTGCCCAAGACCTCCAGACCACCACCACGATGTCAAGGACAGCCAACAGGGGATCTATAAGACCATACTACTGACCGGATCTTTACTCTGTTAGACCTATCTTCAGACCATAGAAGGTCTCCCCAAGAGGCCACTGAACTTATCTGGACAATAAGACGCTGAACTTCATGCTAGGCATGTGTTTGCAAGCAATGAATCTCAACTGAACTTGAACTATGGTTATGCAACAAGGTGGAGGAATCCACCATGGGGGGAGGGGTATGGGAGGGGTGGGGGGAATCCCCAGCGCCTATAAAACTGTACTACATAATACAATGTAAGCAACAATAATAAAAAAAAAAGACCATACTATGGAATGTACCTGAAATTAAAGCCAAGAGAATTCACAAAACTAAGACCCGGGGACATAGCTTCAGGCAACTTTCTTTTCTTTTTACTACGAAAACCATCCTTTATAAGCAACAGAGCTTACCGACTCACCAGATGAGTAAGAATAATCAAAGCACTTGGATGTTTCTGAGGAGAAATACACACACACACACACACACACACACACACACACACACACACACACTCATAGTTGGAGATAGACTCTCACCAAAAATTTATTAAGGAAATGCTTGATAAAAAAATTCAAAAGAATGATTGTAAGAATACTTGAACAGACATAAGATAATGCTGACAGTTAAATGAAAAAAAGAAATGAAGAGGTGTAACATAATTTTGATATTCAACCAAGATATACAGATCTTGAGGAAGAACTTAACAGAAATCTCAGATATGAAGAACTCAATGAGTCAGACAAGAAATCTCAATACCAGGCGTGAGTAAGCAGAAGACAGAACATTTACACATGGAGACAGATCTAATGAAAGGCATCAGTCACACCAAACACAAGGAAAAAGAGTTAAGATCATCTCTGAATTCTCTTGGAAACATTTAAGGAACAAACATGAAGATGCAGAAATCTCCGAGGGAGATGTCTAGAGGCAAAGAAATTAATAAAAAGAAACTGAAAATCTCCCAAATATAGGGAAAGATGTGGACACCCGGAGTTTAGGAGCCAGTAGGACCTCAACCAGAAACACTGAAAAAGATCCTCACAAAGAGACAAGCTTCACAACTCTAACAAGAAGAAAAAATTCTAAAAATTTCAAGGGAAAATTACCAGGGGTCTTTTAAGGAAACCCTCGTTGAAATAATACCAGATTTTACAACAGATGTGTTACATGCCAAGAGAAGATGAAATGATATATCCCAAGTTCTAAAAGAGGAAAGAAAAGCTGCCAGCCAAGAATCTTATAGCCAGCAAAGCTACCCTTCATAAATAAAGACTTTCCCATACAAGTAGAAACTCGGGAATTCTTCACCATCTTCAGCCTTACAAAAAATGTTTAAGAGAGTCCTAATGAAGAAGCAAAGCAAAATAACTATCATTCTGAAAACACCTGGAAGAAGAAATCCCACTAGATTATGAAATACTTTAAAAAATCAGGATAAGTGAATACCTTTCAATAATAGCACTGAATGTAAATGAATTAAATTCTCCCAATTAAATTATAAGCTGGCTGAATGAATTTTTTTTACAAAAAGCAATACCAACAATGTACTCCCTACACATAATATGAAAATGAAAGAATGGAAAGACACACCCGGACAATGTAAGAGAATTGCCTCTTCTAACATAGGACAAATATGCATTAACACAAAAACCATAAAAAAGAGGTAAAGGCTGCTAAATGCTGATTATGCAATCATTTCAACAAGATGATGTGATTGTCACTAAAATACAGCATTGCAGCTCTCATGCGTACAATGTATTACAGGATTTTCAAACTATATCAAAAACGAATGTTTTGATACTCTAAAGAAAATCTAATCTTACCGTTAGATATGTATTTCTACTTAAAATGTTGATAGCCTTGTTTTCAAAGTTTCTAATGAAACTTTGGAAATTGCATATTAAATTCAAATAAATATACACTAGCCACCAAGAAAAGATAACAAATTCATCATACACGCACTTAGTGCTGAAATGCTCAATTTCTATATTCATGGTGAGACAGGCCTCAGCCCAATAATAGAGGGGGGATTTTACTTTCATCAATAGACAAATAATTCAGGAAAAAACACCAATAAACATCAGCTTAAAATTCTACAACTGGGCCCGGTGCGATACCACAGTGGTTAAAGTCCTCACCTTGCATGCTCAGGGATCCCATATGGGCGCCGGTTCTAATCCCGGCAGCCCTGCTTTCCCATCCAGCTCCCTGCTTGTGGCCTGGGAAAGCAGTCAAGGGTGGCCCAAAGTCTTGGGACCCTGCACCCGTGAGGGATACCCGGAAGAACTCCTGGATCCTGGCTTCGGATTGGCTCAGCTCTAGCTGTTGCGGCTGCTTGGGGAGTGAATCATCGGACGGAAGATCTTCCTCTCTGTCTCTCCTTCTCTCTGTATATCTGCCTTTTCAATAAAATTAAATAAATCTTTAAAAAAATTCTATAACTTAAATGAACTCAAATTTATTTATATACTATTTGACCACACAGCTGTTGAATGCACATTTTTTCAGCACTACATAGAACATTTTCTAGGGTATAGAATAAATTAGGCCAAAATCAAGTTTCAATAAATTTATGTATATAATATATATGTACATATAATTTCCTTTATTTTTTCCAGTTATAGTGGAATAAAGTTAGAATTCAACAGAAGAAGATTGGGGAATTACAAAAACACGCGAGGATAAAGCATTGTCCTTATAACCAACAATGGATTCACTGAGGAAATGAGACATTTTAAAAATTTTCTGAAAAAAAAAAAAAAAAAGAGAGAGCATAGCATACCCAAACTTACAGGATATAATGAAAGGAGAATTATTAAAAGGAAAGTTTATAGCCAAAGTATCTACACACACATAAATAAATAAATAAATAAATAAATAAATAAATAAACAACCTATTGAAGTAACTCCAGGTATTGGACAGGCAATAACCAACCAAACTCCCAATCAGCACATGGAAATGAAAAAGAAGCAGAGCAGAAATCAATGAAATAAAGAGTAAACAAGTGAAGATACTAATTCAATGCAGGGGCTTTTAAAAGATAAATAAAACCAGCAATCCTTTAGCTAGATTAAACAACAAAAGAAACACAAAACTGAAACGAATAAAATCAGAGATGAAAAACTGCATATTAAAATGGATGCCACAGAAATACAAGGCATTGTCTGGGACCATAGCAACAAGTTGGAAAAGCTAGAAGAAAAGGCAGGTTTTTCAGGACATACATAACCTACTAAAATCACGCCATGAGAACAAAAAGAATCCAAAACAAAACAAAAATAATAATGAGATTGACTAAGCACTTAAGCATCTCCAGAAAGAAAACCCCACAACTTGTGACCACACTGCTAGGCCCCATCAAACAGTTTTTGTTTTTGATAGACTGATCAATTTATTTCAAAGACACAGAGACAGAGGAAGAGGCAGAGAACAAAAACTCCTCCATTTGCCAGTTCGTTCCCCAGAGGTCTGCAATACCCAGGGCTGATCTAAGCTGAAGCTAGCAGCCTGGAGCTCCACCCTGCTCTCCCATTTGGGTGTCAGGGGCTCACAGGTGTGCGCCATTTTCTGCTGCTTTCCCTGGCACATTCACAGGGAACTGGATGACAATGGAATCTGAGCAGATATGAATCATGACTCCAGTAGTGGGTAATGGCACTGCAAGCAGAGGTTTCCCTTGTGGCACCGCAAGGTAGCATCCTCTACCATACTTTTAAGGAAGAAATGATCAATTTTTTTGGAAACTGTTCCAAAAACTTAAGAGGGAGAATCCTACCAAAATCACTCCATAAGGTAGCATTAACGTAAGACCAGACTAAAGACACGAGAAAAGAGAAAACCATAGACTAGTATCCCCCAAAAACCTATGTGTAAAAATCATTTTAAAAAATAAGAAACAGAATGCAACAGCATATCAAAAGCATCATCCATCACATTTAGGTGAGTTTTATCCCAAGGATGCAAGGACAGCTAGACATAAATAAATCAATAAATGTAACATATTACAGCAACAGAATGAAAGATAAAAATTATATAGCTATCTTAATAGATGCAGAAAAAGGCATTTGACGGAACTTAATGTTAACTCATGTTGAAAAGTCTAAATGGATTAGGTACAGCAGGTTCATACCTCACCATAATAAAGGCTGTACTTGACAAACTCACAGCCAAATTTATGCAGAATGAGGAGAAGCTGAAAGCATTTTCTTTAAGTTCTGTAACTAGACAAGGATATCAGTTCCCATCACTCGTATCCAATACTGTATTGAATGTCTTAGGCAATTAGGAAAGAGAAAGAAGTACAAGTTACACAAATAGGAAGGGGGAAGACAAATCATCGCAATTCGTGGATGACATGATTCTATATATAGAAATCCTTAAAGACTCCAAAGATAATGGAGATGCTAATTGCTGATTTGAGTGGTCTATGCTGTATGCATGCATTAAGATATTGCCTAGTGTCCCACAAGGGTGTATGAGAACTGTCTGTCAACCCACAATTTTGAAAAGTAAAGAAAACAACAGCAACAACATGAAATGAAGCAAAATGAAGCAAGCTGGGGTTAGATGAAACTCAAAAGTGCCAAAGAAAGTGCTTTGGGAATCAATAATTAGAATGTAATACCCTAAGAAAGTACATTATTGGAACAAAGGTAGAAAAAAAAAATTGGTCCCATTCTATTAGACAAATACTAAAAAGCTCTATTTTCTGCATCAAAATGACAACCAGAAACATGGCCTGGCCAGAAAGAACTGAGAGATCCATTATTGAAATTCACAGAAAAAGTGTTCCACACAGCCTCCCATCTGGACCTCCCAGCCAAGCTGCACCCACCTTGTACGATGAGGTGGACCCGCGAGGTCTTTGGATGGTTGTCTGTCTGCACAGAGCAGGTGTAGGGGCCTTCGTCGTACACATCCACGTTCTGGATCTCAATGCTGTACTGGGTTTGGGTGTTGCTCAGGAGAACCACACGAGGATCCAGGCACCACTTGTCATTCCCAGCATAGAGAATGGTGCTGCGGTTTAGCCAGGCCACCCGGGTGACCCGGTTGTCAATTGTGCACCTGAAAGGAAGACCAGATGAGTCATAACAAGAGAAATGAAACAGTAGCCATCCAAGAGGCATCAGCACGGCAGGCCCACCTTCATTTCATTGTTTATTTGGCACGGGGGTGAGGGAGGGACCTTCTGGAAGTCAGCAGTGCAGACATGATTGGATGAAAACTTCAGAACACCGACAGTATCAAACACCAGAGTCCACAAAAGTGCAGTCATCTGAGGGCACAGCCACGCAAATCACTTCCCACTTAGAACCCGGAGGCCTTTTGCATGAGTCCTTCCAGCACCACTTGGCCTCCTTTTACTCAAAGACGTTCATGATGTGAGTGATGGCAGCCCCTCACAATACTGTCTAGGGGATCTGGGAGGACCAAATTATTCAACACTTATAACAGCCTTGTGAACAATATCCTCTTGGAAAAGAAATTCAGGAAAACAGAAAAAAGCTAAATAATTCTTTCCAAGTCACACAGTGTTAGGTAAGAGACTCAGTTTTTCACTACCAAACATTATTCTCACCTTCACATAGTGAATTCCAGAAGGTGCTTAAGATCAGAACTAAATATGGACCACCACAATTGCTATTCATCTTCAGTGCAACTTGGGTTAGAAATGTTCAATTACCGCTAGACTGAAGGCATTTTCCAAAATCTCAAGACACATATAAAAATAGAATTCTTTTTAGTTTTACATCTAGAGTCCTCAAAATGTAGAAGCTCCCTTCTTGCTTATACACTTAGAAATTTTCTGGTGACTCTCATTGTATCTGCCTGTATTCATTTCCCTCCTTAGATGCTCTGTGTTCTATGACCTTAGGTTAAATTTACAAATACATTGTAGTTTTTGCTATTGTGTAATGCTGATCTGGATCTATCAACTTTAAGATACCTATCCAGTTCCTGTAGGTTACACTATGCGGGTTCCTAGCTTTTTCAAAGGAGATGAGAGATTTCTCTGTGTTCCCACCCAGTTACTGTGTATCATAAGGAATTGGCAGTATATTGGGAATTACAATCATTCAGAACATGTAGGATGAGACCATATTAGCTGCAGGTTCGTCTGAGGAAGATTTACAGTCATTGGAAATCTTTAAGGTTGCTTGATGTCCCCAAAACACCACAGTTTCGGCATGGAGCTGTCTGAGCAGCATACAGAGAACCAAGTTCCCAGGGCTCCCTGGCCGGGCAGGGCAGGCAAAAGCATGTGCCAAATGGGACTGGAGTGTAGCTTTCAGTGAGGTGGAGGGATATTCGTGCTCACCAGATCAGGAAGTTGCGGGTGGGGAACCGGTGCCTGGTGAGCTGGGGACCCTGGGATAAGCTCACCTTCTTGGCCGGGCTGGAGTTAGCAGCTCGTGACTTGGCCATAGGATTCGTGGCATTGTTCCGCAGTTAGGCCCCAGGCGGGCAGTGTGGAGGGGGACAGGACCTAGTGTCGTGATGGAGATGTTAGTTGGGGTTTTAATTGAGGGGATATGTTTTGGGATATTCAGAACGAGAAGTAAAAGTAGAGATGGATTGTCTTGTGATGGGATGCAGCTTGAGTGGTATATGCTGGGGGAAGGGTTTCAATGCTTTTGAATGCGGTACACAACGTGGAGGGGAATACAAGGGGGAGGGGAGGGGGGAATCAGTACTATGGGAAATGTACCGATAGCAATGTAACCAGTTAAAACAAAAAAAAATAAAACAGTGTGTCTAACTATATGAAGCAAATCGCAGTGATAGACGGTAGGTATCATTCAGTCTCATTATACTGTTTTGCAAGTAAAACACTTATAGGGACGCCAGTGGACAAAGGATAATCCTTATGGCAAGAGGCGCATATGGGGCATGGTTAAGTAATGTCTACGAACCAATTCCTGTTATGTCGACAAGGCAGCGGCGGGTGACTACGTCCTTGAGCCTGAATATGTAGGAGACCGAAGATCCTACATGCAGTTTGGATATCTCAGACGGCGTTGAGGCATTTTGGGAGTGAAACAACGATCAAAGTAATTTTCTGAGTTGTTGTTCTTCACTCAAATGTTTTTCAATTAAAAAAAAAAACAAATTGAAAAAAGCATTTACTTCTAGTTTATGATTCTTGCAACAATTCCTGGGACAGCTTCCCTTTCCCATTTTCTGCGTTAAAGACCAGAGCTCACTGATCTGGGGAATGTGTCCAAGGTAAGTGAGTGTGGATGTGGGAGGTAATATCCCCCAGGCCTGTGTGAACCTCTGGAAGCCAAAGGTGAATTTTTTCAGTAGAGAGATGATGACTTCTATTCTCAAGATGGTTTGTGGCCATCTCAGATTCTGAAAACTGTTACTGAACACATCAGCTTCCCCGGGCATTCTGTCTGCAGACATCCTGAACCATGCTTCCTTTCTGCTTTACTCGTGTAAATATCAACCACCACCACGGGGGTCACTCAGGCACAGGTGGATACCTGCTGAGAGCTCCTGTGGGGGAAATGGTCCAATGCTTTGTTCTGGTGTTCTGCAAGCCTCGTGCTGCTCATTGTGCGTTGCAGCAGTGCTGGGTCTCTCTGGCATCACTGTCACAGACCACGTGGAAATGACAGGAGGCCTAACTAGAGACAGGGCATGGGACTATTTTCTCCAAATGAGCAGAGACCACTCACATCGGAACCACATGAGAGCTGGGGTGAGTCATGGTTTCACCCCGTCCTGTGCACTCAGAATCACAGGAAGCCACAAGGTGGATACATAACAATATGCAATCAGGACACAGCCACACTGCAGTTGGAAGATCGGTAGTACAGAAGAGTATATCCAGATGTATCTAAATAATTTTGTGAGAATTATTGTAAAAAAAAAATTAAGAATCTTTTTAAGAATTCCAAAATGGTAGATACACAGCATTCAACCAAGTATAGGTCCCCGTTGAAGCAAACTGTCAGGCCAGCCCTAAAAAATCATTCTAGATTTTTGTGCATCTGAATCATGTATGGTTCTCATTAACGCAAATTTCAGCAGAATAAAGTGGGACTTGAGTTTCTGAATTGTTTAGCAAACTCTCAGGTGGTACAACAGGTCCCCGAACTGCTCCTTGAGGCCCTCTTTTTGGAGGTGAATCCTGTGTGGATATAAAGGTTCTAGAAGCACTGAACTACCTAGTACCTTACTCTGCAAGTTTGATCGGCAACTCAGCATTAGGTGTGTCACCTGGGAGTTCACCGGTAATGGAGGCCCTGAGTCTGTCTCTGGGGCAATGGACTGAAATCTGTATTCTCATCAGCTTTACCACAGACAAAGTTTACACTGCTCTGTGGTATACTCCAAGGTTTCCTTTTGGGCTTCAACGATATCATCCAGAATATATTCTGGTGTGACTTAAAAAAAAAAAAGAGAGAGAACTGTGACCAGCACAGGGAGTATACTATACCTGCCCTTACAATCTGATTCTCTGAAACAGATCAGGAACTACAATGGTCTAAAAACATCTTGGTAAAAGGACAACATCTTTTGGGCCCAGCGCAGTGGCGCAGTGGTTAAGGTCCTCGCCTTGCACGCCCGGGATCCCAGATGGCCGCCGGTTCTAATCCCAGCAGCCCCGCTTCCCTTCCAGCTCCCTGCCTGTGGCCCGGGAAAGCAGTCGAGGACGGCCCAAAGCTTTGGGACCCTGCACCCGCGTGGGAGACCCGGAAGAGGCTCCTGGCTTCGGATTGGCATAGCACTGGCCCGTTGCGCTCACTTGGGGAGTGAATCATCGGACGGAAGATCTTCCTCTCTGTCTCTTCTCTCTGTATATCCACCTTTCCAATAAAAAAAAATAATAATAATAATAATAAAATAAATCTAGAAAAAAAGTTCAACATCTTTCACAGCTCACTTTGTCAAGAACGTACTTAGCATACTTTTGACATAATAACCTTAACAACAGTCATGTGTTCATCTTTGCTTGGGTCCAACAGTAAGCCAGGAAATATATAGTAACAGATAAAGCTTACTCTGCTATATCGTAGGCATGGTAAAATCCCATTACCAGGACTGTTTAATGTGAACCTCTCAAAACCTTAATTGGATTCACTTAGTACTGTCAAGATTGTCTGGGGCTAAAGACACATTATCTACACAAAGATGATACTGACATTAAATCAAGCATGACTCAACTCTATTTCCTGTTTTGTTTTTAAAGTTAAACATCTCTTGTTGACCTGATGGGGTCACCAGCAGAGCACCCACCTGACTCTCACGTTCAGGACCACCTTAAGGGCCTGAGAAAACAGAAATCACCAGGTTCTCACCTAAGAACATTTGATTCAGCAGATGAAAAACCTTGCAGAAAATGCATATTATAAGAAAACCCATGAGTGGATTTTACATATTTTGCACCAAAATAAATTCAACATTTAATTCCACTTTGCACTAATTTTCTTTTTTTTTTAATCCTCTTATATTCTCAAATGATGCGGATGCTGTTGTTCTGAACACCACCACCCTTTTGGAATCCTTTTCACCTCCGCTTTCTGGTGAAATGAGAGCAGCAGGAAATGACTCCAATCTGAAACAGCTCCCCACTCTGCTCAGGGGGCAGCTTCTTTGTAACCAATATGTTCTGGGAAGCCAGAAGCAGAGTCTGAGTTTTGTTTTGTTTTTTTTTTTTTTTTTTACTGTAACAGCTGAATTGTGACCGGATCCCAGGTGAATGGCATTGAGACAGGACATGCTGACCCGCAGATAGTAAACTGCTTGAATAATCGTTGATGCCCACAACGGGGGCACCTCACAACCACACGGGGGAATAGTACAGACCTGTGCTAGACTTCCCTGTGAGCATCCCATTATGAAAAACTGACGAAAATGGGAGTCTTCCCACCACACTGCTCTGCGTTACAGAGCCAAAGAGGTTTATCTGCAGATACACTGACACACCAAATGCGGCCAATTTGCAGCACCGGTATGCACTCCCCCCCCCCCCCCCCCCCATGATATACTGCATTGAAACATTGGCATCGCTTCAGCAGTGGATTTGGTTACATCCAAGGTCACACTCAGAT